TGTATGATGCCACAATGATCATGTCAAGAATTCCAGCTGTCCATCACTACAAATTTCAAGCATCCTTCTTTGGGAATGTCTAGGTGGTTAGTTAGGTAGTTGTCGAATCTCTTGGCTAAGCGATTTGGTGCCGTAGGTAGTGAGTTCGAGTCTTCTTTCGTCAATTGTGTTACCATGTTCAATAGATTCATTTTAACGTTTTTATAAAATAATAAAAAAAACTACTAACATGTCAACATAACATCATGATCTAAATTTTCTAACTCGGCAAAAATTATCTCAACAAGGAAGATATGACGATGAAATGCATTAAGGCTAATGATCGCCCGAGAAATTCAAGATTAGGTTTTGTAAGGTCACAAATATAGGACAGAAAGATGAATATGACACACACAGATTACATCAGGTCGTCATCAGGTTGTATTTATAAACAGATATTTCCTCCCACACTTTCTAGGACATACATTTAATCTTCTGATCGTTCCCAGATTGTAAGTCCATGGTAAATCCCTGGGTATTTACGTATGTTATACATTACCAGTATCTTTGGTCCAAAAACTGACAATGGAACCTTTATTTATGATGACAAAAAGTATATAAGTTATAATGTCTGTGCGTACCAGAATACCTATTGACGCAACCTTGAAGACGCCGCCAATAAAGTATGGTTGATGATGGATGACCAGAACGGCTATTGACGCAATCTCCGGGTCTGACATACGTCTTAGAAGATTTCGTTAACATTAGGTTCGTTGCTCTGTAAAGTGAAATTTATTGACATCTATATTTACTTCGTAAGAATTCAATCTTCTGTCATTATGGAAAGATGAGCTTAACACATATTGCGAAGTAGGACAATGTTTGATTCGTGTAATGCCCTAGCATCGAACTCCAGATCTAAGGAATTAATCGTCTATCGAAACAAAGGATACAGTTGAGTGAAGACTAGTATCTACATCTAGTGCATCAGTAGTGCATAAATCTTCTAGTAGTTGTCGAGATTTAGCAGCCTCGATACTCCATGGGTTACGAGCAGTCTCTAACTAAATTAGGATTTCGGTAGATGCAATTTTTAACAAAGCGTACGTAGGTATCTACTTGAGTTCGTTAAACAGCGTACTCCGATACAAAAGACAAGTTTCGATATCTGGTTTGTGGAAATCTTATATTCATATTTTTATCTAAATCGATTTACAAACTATCTTGGTTACGTCACAACACGTTTGCACTTGCGCAGTGCAATGTAAACAAAAATGGCGACTTATTTAGTGCAGTACTTATTATGTAGCCGCGAGTGGGTTTCTATGTATTTCGTATCTATTAGTTGTAATTATATGAAGTTCAGAGAATAAATGCTCTATACAAAGCAAACGGAAGAAATCGATTGCTACTGTTGGGTAAGACATCGTGTTTCTAGTTCAAAATCATCACGTGATAAATGTTCTATATTTCGACGATCTAATTTTGAATTGGCCAGTGGTATTTCCATCAATTTTGTTTGTCCTGACTGATCATAGGAAAAAATATTTGATGCTGCCAATAGTTGATTGGGAACGGGTCTTAAAAGGTAGAGAACATCGAGAAATTCGCAACTCGTCCGGGATGTCTCTTTAAATTTTTGCTTCAAATTGATGTAAACTCTAAGGAAGGTATTGTATTACATACAACCGAACTTTTTCGCTTATAACAAACATCTTTTATCGATGGACCATATTGAAAACAGACATGGTGTTTATTCATAACGCCAACGACAATCACAATAGTGAATGATTACATTCCAGTTCATAAATAATTGGCTTCCAAATCGATGTGCCTTCACAGCCATAATATCTACATGTTTCAAACCGGAAACCACTATAACGTAGATCGTGACCAGCAGATTACCATGAAATATATATATAAAAAACAACAGGAAAGTGTGTCACGTTTTAGAAAACTGATAATTTTCCGGAACGTGATTATCAGCTCCTCCAACGCAATTCACGTGTAGTCGAAAGTAGTCTGGTACAACACATAATTAAACTTTGTATCCGCCAACAATTACAGCTATATATATCAGTCATCGGCCATCGTCATCAATGGCAATAACTGCACATACAGTCTACACCTAAATCCGTCAGTACCACGTGCGTAATTAGCACAATAATCCAAGGTGTTCAGTGCAGATGTCCATTTACATTTTGTTTTCGTTATCGTTTATTTTCTGATCCCGAATGATAGAAGTTTAGGTATGATGTTATGAATAAATAAATAAATAAATAAATAAATGTAATTGAATAAAATCATTGTAATAATGATAAACCCGGGAATAAAAACAGGCCCTGATGATATGAGAGAGATAAGATCCTTGTCGGTAGATGTGACAGTCAACCGATATAACATATAACAGTGGTCACGATCTGTGTTTGTACTGGCTGTGCACTATGTATCGAGTTGGCTTCTTTAATATCAGAGATGCCAGATTCTTGGTTAACCGAAGTGATGTGCGTAGTTGTACAAGATACAACAGGTGTTTGACCGATTTGACGTCACCTCATACAAGGTGTACGACTGACCTGGCAGTGACTGGGCGGCCACATCAGTGGCTTCCAGTGAGTTTTTCACGTTGAGCTCAAGTTGAATGGTGTATATTTCTATATATGACACTCGAAACTACTCGTGGATCAAGCCAATGTCAGGATCCAATCACAAATGTCAATCTAATTGCTATTTGATGATCGCTCTCACTCTATTGTCTAAATTTACCACTTCAGTATTAGAGAACGCATCGTTCGTCATTCCTGTCCAAGCCTGCCATTAAAGGGGGGTTAATCACATGTATCGACCCCCAGGCTTCACGGGCATGACTTTGTGAGTATCATGCAACCATCTTAATGAGCACACCCTTGTCATCAAGGATATCGGTAGGTCTCTGATAATATTGATACGATTGTCTCCACGGACAATATAGGTCAGCTTGACCCAGTATAGACCACTCGGGTGATGAACACCTAGGTATTGTTTAAATTACACTGTAGGTTTGATATGGAATGTATTGTAGAGACGGTTATATATTGATGTAGAGTTAAAGACCAGTCTTAGTCGGCGAGAAAAGATAGCATCACTGATCGCATCGCCTCACGTTCACATGATACGCATCCGGTAGGCTGTTTACTAATCCCAATCACAGAAATCAGTATTTAGACAAGGAATTATATACATCTTGTGGTGAAGTACGGTAGAAACATCACATACTTACAACCAACTATTACTTTGGCTTCTTAGTTTAGTGTGAAAATAATAATGTTCATCAATGTTTTAATTGTAAACGTTCATTGAACGACTCATTCACAGAAGTTGAAGTCCGCGACGCTGCTCACCAATGTAATAAAATGACCACTAACAGTGTTTCTATTCAGGATGTGTGTACATTAAAATATTGGTGCCATTGACTACCAAATGGATCACACAAAACCAAACTGGGGGTCATTTTTCAATAAGTGATTTGGCGATGTTTCCTCATATGTAATCTGAAAGGAAATTAAACAACTAATGAAAAAGCAACAGGAAAACACCAACATGTCAACGTCAAATTCAAAGCCAGTAACTTTGGCAAAATATGGAAAAAATGTAAGCTTTACACAGAGACTCATGAAAAAGTACACGGAGGATAAGACTATGTGTTCCGAAGAGTAAGCGTCTTCTGCTTCATCGATAGCACCAACCGTGCAAATCTCGGACAGTCCAATGAAGTAATGTCATTTTAACGGAACCAACAGACAAACTAACGAGCATCAAACGCGTTAGCTTCATATCGCACAAAGGAATAGAATATTTGTCAATTATATCACTATGGCAACCGTACAACCCCTCCATACTTCTCAACAATCTGCATCATTTGAATGTCTATGTTACGAGTTTTTTTCAGTGATTTCCCGTAGATCAGCTGGTCTCAAGTTGTTTGTGTGTGATGATATACCGATGTCCTTTAATCTTCCATACATGTTTTACTATAATCCCGGACTCGAACACCGGAACACTTTGGCTGTATAAAGATATCTTTACCGCGTAAACTTAGAAACTGGTAAATAAACAGTAAGGAAAAACATGCAAAAATCTGCTGAAATGATTACTAGAAAGTCAAAGAAATTAGTGACTGACCGATACCGAAAACAAATCAAAGACAGGAAGTCACGAGCTATGGATGGTTTCTGCTATCTGCCTCTGACCCCACACGTTGACGCCAGTAAATCAGCCCCCTATCGCCAAAAAACACCCTCCTCCTTTGCTTTTTTATCATTCAGAGAAATTCAAAGGACAATTACACGTACCAAATTCTGCCGTAAGATATCATACCAATTTCTCTTGTGATAGCGATCCGTCGGGGAAGAGGACTTTATACGGGGTCAACTAAAGGCCACGTATGTGATATACGCCAAAAACGTTTCATTTAATACTTACTTCAGCAGATGTACTTTAAGCACCAACTTCTTAACGTTGAAATATATATTTGATTCGCAGAAAACACGTTTTCCTTATTTTAACTAATGAATTTTATTCTGTAATACTCTGTACTCGAAATAAATGATGTAGAAATTATGCCTACTGGAATGGTAAATAGTTCTATTTACTTAGGATTTCAGTACATATACATCGCTTTTTTGTCAAAGAAGTTCCAGAAATTGCACGAAAACTTACATCATCACAGCATTTTTATCGAACCTCGTGAAGCAAAAGATGTACATTGAGAAACCATTGAGTATCATACTCAGACATGAAAAAGGAAAATGATTTTCATTTCATCATTCACCATAACTACGTCAACAACGTCAAAATGTCCTAAAATATCAATATTTAACTCAAAAAAGTAATCAGAAATATTTTGCCAAAATTTACCTGTTAACGAGGGACTTGTTCCGTATTTACTCCAGCGTTTACCTTCATCAACGTGACATACCTACGAAATGTGTAGTTGAAAGTTAAATGGTTGTGTTATCTTGTTGGAAACTGACCTTAACACGCTAAAAACATGACACAACCAAGATGGTGGTATAGGACGGTCCTCTTGACGGGGATATAGGACGGTCCTCTTGACGGGGATATTGGACGGTCCTCTTGACGGTGGTATCGGACGGTCCTCTTGACGGTGGTATAGGACGGTCCTTTTGACAGAGATATAGGACGGTCCTCTTGACGGGGATATTGGACGGTCCTCTTGACGGTGGTATCTGACGGTCCTCTTGACGGTGGTATAGGACGGTCCTTTTGACAGAGATATAGGACGGTCCTCTTGACGGGGATACTGGACGGTCCTCTTGACGGTGGTATAGGACGGTCCTCTTGACAAGGATATCGGACGGTCCTAATGACGGTGGTATAGGACGGTCCTCTTGACGGTGGTATAGGATGACGGTGGTATAGGACTGTCCTCTCGACAGGGATATTGGACGGTTCTCTTGACGGTGGTATAGGACGGTCCTCTTGACGGGGATATAGGACGGTCCTCTTGACGGTGGTATAGGACGGTCCTTTTGACAGAGATATAGGACGGTCCTCTTGACGGGGATATTGGACGGTCCTCTTGACGGTGGTATAGGACGGTCCTCTTGACAAGGATATCGGACGGTCCTAATGACGGTGGTATAGGACGGTCCTCTTGACGGTGGTATAGGATGACGGTGGTATAGGACTGTCCTCTCGACAGGGATATTGGACGGTCCTCTCGACGGTGGTATAGGACGGTCCTCTTGACGGGGATATTGGACGGTCCTCTTGACGGTGGTATAGGACGGTCCTCTTGGCGGGGATATAGGACGGTTCTCTTGACGGTGGTATAGGACGGTCCTCTTGACGGTGGTATAGGACGGTCCTCTTGACGGTGGTATAGGACGGTCCTTTTGACAGAGATATAGGACGGTCCTCTTGACAGGGGATATTGGACGGTCCTCTTGACGGTGGTATAGGACGGTCCTCTTGACAAGGATATCGGACGGTCCTAATGACGGTGGTATAGGACGGTCCTCTTGACGGTGGTATAGGATGACGGTGGTATAGGACTGTCCTCTCGACAGGGATATTGGACGGTCCTCTCGACGGTGGTATAGGACGGTCCTCTTGACGGGGATATTGGACGGTCCTCTTGACGGTGGTATAGGACGGTCCTCTTGGCGGGGATATAGGACGGTTCTCTTGACGGTGGTATAGGACGGTCCTCTTGACGGGGATATTGGACGGTCCTCTTGACGGTGATATAGGACGGTCCTCTTGACGGGGATATCGGACGGTCCTCTTGACGGTGGTATAGGTTGACGGTGGTATAGGACTGTCCTCTCGACAGGGATATTGGACGGTCCTCTTGACGGTGGTATAGGACGGTCCTCTTGACAGGGATATTGGACGGTCCTCTTGACGGTGGTATAGGACGGTCCTCTTGACAGGGATATAGGACGGTCCCTCTGATGGGGATATAGGACGGTTCTCCTGACGGTGGTATCGGACGGTCCTCTTGACGGTGGTATAGGACGGTCCTGTTGACGGGGATATAGGACGTCCTCTTGACGGTGGTATAGGACGGTCCTCTTGACGGTGGTATAGGACGGTCCTTCTGATAGGGTATAGGATGGTCCTCTTGACGTTGGTATAGGACGGTCCTCTTGACAGGGATATAGGACGGTCCTTCTGATGGGGATATAGGACGGTCCTCTTGATGGGGCTATAGGACGTCCTCTTGACTGGGGTATAGGACGGTAATCTAGATGGGGGTATAGGACAGTCCTCTTTTTTATTTTTCATTCTATATTCGACTATACAACACATACATATGATACTATTGGGATGGGAAAACAAGCTTAGAGCTTATATTAATTCCAATATTACATCGTGATGGAATATACAACATCAGTTGCTTGTACACAATGTTATGAGTATTGAATGAGGAAAAATGGATTTCATGCTGATTTACATTTTTACGGAAATTTAAAAGTTGCAACATCGACACATTACTCTAAACAAAATTTCATGTACAAATTCGATAAGGCAAATTGTGATGTCGTAACAGAGTGAAATAAGACCCCCCGGTTACTTAAATCTCAATCAATAATGAAATCTCTGTAGGCAATGTATCCTGCAATCGATCTGTCTCAGTGTGTTTATTACAAGGGTTTAGACAATCAAATCAGAAAATCCAAGACTGAATTGGGGATTATAATTGATAAGGATTTTATCAGGAAATATGTTTATAATACAAGGGACAAATAAGCTCACCACCTGCTACTCCTCTGTAGTCTCTTTAAGGTAAATGTTGTAAGGCTTCGATGTGCCGGTGAAGTAGATACTGTCTGATGTTATCGTATCGTTAGTACTTAAACATAGTAAGCAGTGTGTGACCTGTGAATGCGTCTGGTTTCTTTGTTGGGAAGATGATAAAAGATATAAAATATTGTGTGTGTCTTACAAGGGATGTATTTCACAGAACTAAGATATTTAGCATTTTCTACAATACTCAATGATTCAATCATGATGTTTGAAGTAGGAACAAAGACATAAAAAACGTATTTTAAGAAAAGTTTATAATTGTATCAGAAGGCAATTTCAGGAAATTCCTATCAAAATGACAAGCATTCTAATTTCAGCAATTGAAATGCCCGTCAGTTTGCCAGGAATTTGAATGTTAGATGTGCTGCGAGGAAACACTCGATCAGTGACATGTAGGAGGTGGACAATAATTGTCAGGCTTATTAATGTAAACGATAGTTTTTTCTTCCATTAAATTTATATTGACGTCACTGGGTGTGATGTGTTAAATACAAAGGCGATATATTGACGATAATCATACTGTTACCATACGTCAGTGTTGTCGATAATGTCCTTATTTGTCTACTGATTAAATGTCAGATACCAAAGTAAAGATTTAAGGTAAATCAGACAGATTACATACCGCCTCTTTATCATAGACTAGTATTACAATGTCTACAGGAGTCCATCTACGCTTCCTTACAAAAAATCGGAGGTAGTAGGCGTTTTGAATATAATGACTGTATTTTGTAGATTTCATCCACGTTTATTTAAGATAATAAAAGTTGAAGTATTCTGCAAGAAGCTATTTTGATTACTTGTTTTGTTATTAGCAGTAAATAATTTGTAAGTATGATCTCAAACACGCTGATTTCCTCAATAATGTATTATCTTTGTAATGCCTGATGTTTTTCCCCAACAGTTATAATTTTGTAACTATTTTATCAATATTTTTATCTTGAAGTTTACATAAGAATAAAAGAAGATCTTCGACACAACTACGGGATACTACATTGTATGTAGATAGGATCACAGGAAGCTATGGACACTGCTAATGACCTCTATTGCGGGAGATGTCAGACGTATTGCGTTTAGCGCGCCAGCAATGTACGTGTCGTCTAAATCTCCATCGTCAATACTCCAGGGGTTACAATCCATTTTTACTCTCTGCACCCCTGGAACATGTCATGGTTAATTGAAGTCACAAGCTAAGTAATTTGTATGGTTTTAGGGGAAATTCTGACCAATCATAGGCTGATACGCTCGTTTTGAAGATTACAAAGAGCAACATCCAACATCAAAACCATTACAATATACCTTGTGCGACTTCGCGATTTGATGTACATCAAGAGATAATACTAGTCTTTTCGTCTTGTCCACAAGGTAGTAGCATATGAAACCTTCAAATTTGTCATCACATGTTCTTAGGGGTGCTGGGTGCGAAGTGATCGTAACCCATGGTGTACCGATGGGATGAAGATAAAATTCCTTCAATTTTACTTAACGATCTCATAATGACCTCCCATTGGTAATAGTCTATTTTCTTGAACGATACATACACAATAGTCCAGGGGTAACGATTACTTTCATTCTAATTGGTGCATTTCATTGCATGATTGACGGCACAGACGAAATAATTTGATTTGTCTTAAGCGGGTTTCAGGAGAGAAAAAAATACCAACACAGACAGCCATGTTCCTTTGAAGATTATAAAGGAGTGTCACCCAATTGTTTTATGTACATTGAAGAATCAAACTGATCTTCTCATCCTGTCCTTAAGATGCCGCACATGGAACCTTAAATTTTGTGATGAAATGTTCCACGGGTGCAGAAAGCGAAACTGATTGTAACCCCTTTAGTATAGAGGATGTGAACGATATAAAGATGGTCGTGTTTAATGCTCGTTAGTATGTCTGATGATTATGTTGTCATAAACCTTGTACAATCTTTATTTATTTATCTGTTTATTTATTTATTTTGCTTTAAAGAAGTACTGCATTTAAATGTATTATCTTCTGAGCAGAAACCTGTGGTGAGATGGGATAACCAGAGGTTTGCTTGCACGGTCTTTTTGTTTCACTGAACACGAAAAAATTAACACTATCAAACATTGCGCTATATACCATTACATGTTCGTAATATAATTGTGGTGTGTGATCACGGGCGTACCCCTTATATGTGTTTAATATATCAACTTAGTGTGTTGAAAATGAATGAAACGTAATGAAAAATTGTTATTAACATGTATGATATATGGGTCGCTCTCGCTGAACGTGTGTATTATACTTTGTAGACATTGCCGTAGATGAATTTCTGTAGGACGATGTATGTTTATCAAACTTTACAAAATACATGACGAATTCTTGTTTTTTTCTTCACCCCAGTTTATGTGGTTGTAACTATTTACTAAATAATTGACTGTATACAATGTTCATTTTAAGCAAGGTGGTTTTGTTTACAAGACGATGAACATTGATTGGTTTCGAAAATAAAATGCACCTCTACCAACAACTAACCTTAATCAGTGGAGAGCTGACTTTCAGGGCACTTATATGTCGTTCTGTTTTTACCTCTACCATGTAACACGCTTAATATGTAACGACTGTAGATGTTGATTTAGCTAATCCCAGTGATGGTAACCCTTAAGTCGACATAGGTTTCGTAGGAAGGGAACTAACTCGTAAAAAGAAAACGTCTTCGAATTATTCATCAAAATTGTGAAAATGGATTTGACTTTCACAACAAAAATTATTTATAAGATATTCAAGGAAGGAGATATATCAAACCTCTGATAGCCATAATGCATGAAGATCGAGTCATAGACGAAGTAAGTTCGGGGACTGCAATCGTGTCTTAGTCTGGAATGAAGAATATTAAAGTGTTCATTCATTGCATTTATGTATTGAATTTGATATATTAGGGATACAAGCTGACTAGAAAGACGAGAATAACAGTGATCTAATGTTATCGTCTAAAATATTCTTAATGTAAACTTTAAAAGGGATAAGTGATTGATTTCGTCACACGCGAATCTCACTTCAAAAAGATGATGTTCAAGGACAATCAATTTAATATGTTGATTTTCCTCGTTTTGATGATGAAAAATCAACAATATCTTTCTTAACCGGCTGTATCATCTCTTGACAAACGTCAGTTCGATATTCTGCAAAATTAGCAAAAAATAAACAATAAGCAGGTGTTCACGTTTCCATTCTATAAGAGTAAAAACAAACAAACTTTGAATTTTTAATTTTATTTAATATTTGGTCAAGTCTATGGCAAGTTAAAATAAACAAAATCATGAGGAGTTTCATCAATATCATAGAAAGTAACGAATGGAAGATTCTGTTTATCACATATTAGGAATACTTTTGGAAGCATTTATGACAACAGCATTTCATAATTCTCAATTTATCTCCATCTTAGAAGTCATTACGTGCGCGAATGTAACAAAATTTATGTAATGGAAATTATGGGATAAAAGGAAAGTTTTGGGTTTTCAAAGTATTCAGATTCCTAATATGTGTTATGTATACCTAGTGTATCGATTAGCTACTTCACAGTTAGCACTGTCGTTCAGTAAGTGTCACAGATCCATATTGATGTCAATTTTCGTTAGTTAATATATTTACATTTTGCTTTTTCCATTAAATCGATATTGATATGGACTGCACAGATAAATTGCAAATTCTACATAACAAGGCCGGCGTCATTTTGGCGTTATGTTGGTCTACGTTACTCATTAGATACAGTTCTTGTTTCATGCGATAAAAATTATTATAGATGGAACTCATCAGTGTTGCTATAACTGTTTATCAAATAGCTTTACATCAATAATCCAAAAGGTTTTCACTAAATAAACATACAATTATACGGAGATAAAGACTCCATAACTTAATTCAATAGACACTGAAAACAATAAATAATATTTACTATTGAACAGTCGAACGATGCTCTTTAAAGACTTGATTTATTAAAACATTAAAATCAGAGACTGACAGTTTTACCACCATTCCTGTATGTGTTGCCTTTAGTTTTCGGTGGTCCGGAAACCGGTGACAGGGCTCCAATGAAAACATAATCTCGTTCAACTAGACCATTGAAATGTTTTAAAGTGACAAGCGAGTGGGTGGAGGAAACACGCGGAGATACCGTGATGAAATATATATTTTAGTATATATGTAAATACAACTTGATTATCAGAAATTTCAGGTTTAATGTTTACACTTTCAATAAGATAAGGGAATGAATAGTAAGATGAAATATGCAGAACTACATGTTGTCCTATTCTCGCGGGACTGAGAAAAGCGCGTTGTAAATTGTGAAAGCATTTAAATCCCAATCAACGCATACCTTGCAAAGTGAAGTCAGTGCGAACTTATCTTTATATCAACTAAGAATAAAATCTTATGTCATTGAATATAGTCGTAATGAGACGTAATAAAAGGAAAGTCTAATTCAGATCGCGTGATAGGAACGTTTGTATTCTCAAATAAGGGAGGCTACTCTTATAGACTATACACTTTGTATTTGAGAGACAATAACACAGTAACGCAGGCAAACATCCCAAATTTACCAATCAACCAATCAATAAGTAAATATTTTTTATCTGAAGATTGACATGAACGCCGAATGTCTGTATGTTTTTATTACTTTGTTTATGCCTGATTTCAGTCTCTGTCGAAATAGATAATTGTAAAGACGCTTTGAAGGCTTTGTTCGTTTTTTAATATTTACACTAAAGTTCAAAGTGTAAGTCATCGCGTAATAAGTGTTTCGTGCTTTGAATATGTGAACCTCACAATACGCATGTCAAAATTAAACAATTATTTCACAGTTCAGAAAAATATGTTAAAGTTCAATATGAACCACATCACACACATAATGCGTTCTAGTTCAGATAATTATGACTTAGTACAATAAGCATTTTATAGTCAGAGTATGTTATGTGTAGCCGAGCTACAGTACGTACATTACTTCATTTCGATAGCGCCTTTGCATTTCGGTATGCCACGGTATTTCAACTATTAAAAATTATGCCACAACAAACGTATGTTACAGTTCAGTAGCTAATTTTATAATAAGTAAGTATAGCAAGTCCGTTAGATTCCATTCAGTATTTTACACTTGATCTTATATACGAGTTAACTGTAGATAACAAACCGGTGTAACTTCACAAAACATAAATGGATACTGATTTGTCCTTGCCATGATGGGATGTAGAATCTGCCAGGTAGTCTTTCACCCATAGTTTGATGGTTTTCCGCTCCTTAACCTCGTTCCAGTACCCAGAAGACTTAAACATATTCCGTAAAGCCTTCGGCGCCACACAGATGACGACCGTGGTGCCGATTTCTGTCAACAGGGTCATGTTGTCAAATGTATCAAAAATAAGGAGCAAAAGAACAGAAATGTAGATGATCATTATTGTAAGTAGCAGTTTGTAAAGTATCAGAAATGTTTCAATTCTCAATGGCTTGTGATGGCTGATCACAAAATTGAACAAGCGCTGTGGAATAAAGACTGTTGAATCGACCTTCTTGGTAATGCTGGGGCCCTCGAATGCCTCATCGTCCATCATGATGTCACACACCAGTTTGGTCTTGTCAAACAGTTCGTCGTACGTAAATCTCATGGAGCGAACGGACTCCACGACGTAGATGGCGACACTGAGGTAACATATGAGATAGTTCCGGTAGTGTTCTGGGTAAGCAATGAATCCCGTGTAGGTAAAAATGGCACCGCGAGCAAGAAATACCAAACTATGTACAAAGAGTATATGTAAAATATAGGAACAGTAAAATAGAACAATGGCAATAAAACAAACAGTAAAACATTTTGATATCCGCCCACGAAAGTATTGGCGTATTTGCAAGCAGTATGCTCTGTATGTTATGACATTCAAAAAGACAATCGGAAATCCGTAATACACTAGACAGAGAAACCATTCGAACACACATAAAGATGCGAATAACGGCAATGTAATTAGGTAAACCGGATTAAGAATACTAATGTTACACAGGGACAAATAATCCCGAAGTTTCACCCATCTCCCAGTCTGGCATTTCAGAACGAATCTCCAGAATTCTGGATTCAATAACATAACCATTTGGGCCACCAAAGTTTTGTATATCTTGATGTAACCGATGCTCACGTGCAGTGACTCTGTCGCCCCTAATTTAGCTTTATTGGCCATATCTACCCGTAGAGGGGATAGCTGTCCCGGAGACGGATCAGGTAATCCTGATTCCAATAAAATAGGTAAGCTTTTTGGAACGGATAACAGCGCCGCGAACAGGAAAATAAATATCGCAAATGCGATGTATGGACCGCCGAATATTGTTAAAAAGTTTTGCCGACTTAATTCGAAACCAGAGAGCATAGACCCTACGTCAGTTGGCACGTGGTTCTTCGTTAGATCTTTCAGGAACAAACGTAGAGAATAATCCCTTCTTACTACAATGAGGTAAATGGCGGTTACAAACACCGTAGAGAACGATATAAAAATCCTAACTGTTCTCGACACTGCTACCGGGTGTCTTACGACGTAACCACGTAACGGAGAGAACAGTACCGAGCTGAAGCACACATGATTATGGGCGATCCATTCACATTCCTCTTGCCCATTTGGTTTATGACTCAGGGATTTTGGGTCCCTTAATATCCTATATAGAATTTCCGAGCCGGCAATGAACAAGAGAGGACAAAATAAAAACAAAATACTGCCAATTATGTAGGGAATTTCCCACCACACCTTACTATACCGGAATGGCTGGCCGTCACAATAAACAGTATTTTTCCTTGTGTCGTGTTTGCAACAGGAATACCCCACAGTGTCTTGTTGGCAAATCATGTACCGACACAATAGTTTCATTGTATCTGTCATGTTAATCATCTTGGTATAGCACCACATGTTCGTGTCTGGCACCTTTTCTACCTCAAACTCGTTCCTTTTCATTTTGCGCGGTATCAATTTAGAAAGTGCACGAACTATCGTCAGTGTTGTATTCATTTCACCGATGACCAGAGATGAGCAGTTTCCTTTCATGTTGATAAACACACAATATGGTCCATATAGTTTTCTTTCCAGCATTCCTAGAGATAAAATCGAATAATCACGTGGCCAATACAGGGCTTTGTAGGCACTTTTCTGCGCCTTGTGAGTCCAGACCCATGTCAAGGGTTCTATCACACAGTGTGTGCAGGATACCGACACTGGCTTCCCTCCTTTCTTAAACTTGAGGAGCAACTTGGCGAAGTCAAAATGGCGGTGATTGAAAGTCCGTTTGAAATACTGAAGTGAATTCTTTTCCACGTTCAATTTACATTCTCCGTCTTGTATGGCAGTGGACTGCCAATCAATTTCACGAGAAGAATAGTCACAGGCCACACTTGTTTTTTTAGTGATATTACTTGCACACATCTGCCTAATGCCTTCTGGCGGTATACTATCACCATCCCACACTCCTCCATGTAACGATGATATTCCACACAACAACAAAAGAACAACCTTGATCAACATGTTCGTTTGATGTCTCGGAAGGTATGTGTAAATAGTCCCTGTACCGATTCAAAAATATGTTTCTAATGTTTTATCAGACGACGAAGTAGTCCGGACATTTATTCAGAAATCGATACAGAAAGTGTCCGAACAGATCTTATACTCACAAACTAAAGCGACAAGGAAGAATCTCTAAATCTTTTTATAATGAAACACTTCCGTTACGTTCAAAGACACGGTATCCTAGTTAGGAGGAAGTAGAATCTCATATCACAGCTCGTGACCGACTACATTTAGGAAATACTTATTTTTTGAGTGTAATTCACTAGAAATCGGGTTAAATATTTCCTGTTTTGTTCATCGACGACATCTTCTGGTCGTAATAAGATAATATAAAGTCAACTTTGGACGAATGATTTGTCTGATCGTAGTAAATAATCCGATAATCCTTTAGTATGGATTGAGGTCACACTTTTCTGAGTGACCTAAAGTAATTCGGTTAGGTTAGGTTAGGTGTATATCTTGAGTATTTATAAACAATCTTATATAATCTCATTTTCTGTAATAATACGCACGTATCTGTGTAATTATTTGATAATTTGCCCTATATATACATGTATATGTAGTGTCTACTCTCTTGCACAAAACTTGAACCTGATAATTACATTAAGGACACGGAACCCATGTCGTTTACGTGATATTGTTAGTAATACATTAAATCTATATACAATTTTATTGATCTTTGATATATATGTCATACATTCACCAGAGTCCTAAAGAACGATTCTCCAGGAACCATGCGTGAAATATGTTTGCTGTTGTGGACTTCAAACTTTGAACTTCAAACATTGTGGCCAGAAATTGAATTGAATTTAAATTCAAACAGATGAATATTAAACGGAGATATTTACATATCGGTGTAAATCTCCGTGCTAAATGTACGCGAATCTGAACATATATATTGAAGTTTATCGTCATTATCTTGTACAGTGTAGGAACTTTAAGTAAATACATGTGGCTTAGACGATAGTTGATTTTCACAGAACCAATGTAATTATGTGAAATTGGATTTAAATGTTGTCTGCTTTGAAACACGCCCTCTTTTCTAAAACCGATTGATAGATTCAATACTGACTAGGTCACGTTTGTTTTGTATGCGATAAAGTTTTCTAACACGGCACGACTTAATGAGGCTTGATGGCAGACAAGATATAAGCAGCAACTTTCAATAAATTGTCCCTTTAAACGACAGGAAAAAATAAAGCTCATCGAATTAATAAATTTGGAATATCACAGATGTATTTTTTTAAATGGGAAAAACAAACAAAAATCAAAAACAAACAAAACTTGAACTTAGTGTCAGGTCATGTTTTATCTCAATCACTCAGATGCTATACAGGAAAGATTCCATCTCAATGTGATTCTTGCACTGAATTCAAAAGTTGTAGTGAGCACTGCTCCAGACATAAAGCCTGGTAAATTGTTCACTTTGTGCTCTACTTTCGATATAGTACTATTGTATATGTGATTGTGTACCTCCTCTGCTATTTTTGGACGAGATGTCTTGTTGTTTGGTACATATGTACTTACATTCTCACGCGTTTCTCTAAGTGTACATATTTTACCTGTTATCTATTTTAAGCATTTTTTGCGCCAAATATTGCGTCAATTCAGTTTCTGAATTTTGTCTGAAGAGCAATAATTATAAATGCACTTGAAAACAGGAAAAGGAAAGAAAAGTCTTAATGTTTAATTGTTCCAAATCCAGCAGCTTTACAATGTACAGTAATACAGTTAAATCAACTCTCAAACAAAATAAGTTGATCACTAATCAGGCTCAGGTCGATCTTAGCTGTATATTTCAATATTCTGTCACTAGAGAAGTAGTTCCTTTGAAATATCAAACACATTATGTGTTAATGCTTCAGAGTTTTCGGTATATATTGTTTCCATCTAAACATCTATTAGTGATAGAAATACATTGTCAAGCTTGATCGCCCAGACCCATTTTATGAAATTAGAATTTACATTGATATCCTGGACTGATTCTCCACAGCTAATGAAATGGACTCCAAAATAACTCTCATTAGTGTTAAATAGACAGAAGCTATCTATACGTTACTGACAAAAGATAGGTATTTGTTATATGTTTATGTGGTACAGAGGACACTTACCATCTGGACATTTTACCTGATTATTCCCCTTAGTTTTCCGTGTACCTGGTATTATGTGAAGTACACGAAGTCTGATATATATGAAAAGCAGTACAGAAATACTTTGGTTGTGTAAAATTATCAACATCTAACTAGGCTTTATGAAAAAAAATTATCTCGTTGATGAATAAAGGATGTGATAATTTTTTTCTCCCATCATTCACAGGCTTGTCACCCGTTTTACTTGTTCAAGATTTCTCTGTCAACCCCTAGGGTATGATTTCTCTGTCAATCCTTAGGGTATAACAGATAGCGCGTGCACCGGAAGTGAACCGGAACTACTTCTACACACGTCGTCTGTTACATGTATGCAAACAAATATACATGTATGAATTTACCAATAGCTAAGACTCTCTGAGAAAAAGTATGATGGAAGAAAAATAATCATAATAAAAATAATCGGCATAGCCTCGGGTTAGACAACCAAGAATATCACCCCTCGGAATGGAGATTTCTCTGTCACACAGGTAGGGGAAGATTCTATTAATCGTCAGGTATATTTCAGAATTTGTTGGGAAGATCATCTTTATGATTGTTCCGTACATGTACATACATTTAAATCTTACTGAAATCAAAAATCAATTATCTTCACCTGTCCATTGTGGTACCCAACCCACAGGAAGTTATTAATATCAAACGCCAGGGACGACGGTAGGTCACTTCCGGGGCAAACAGTTCGGAGCAAAACACCATTGCGGTCTAGGGTCACAACACACTTGCTAACAGCATCACAGAGAAGGATGTTGTTTCCATTGTCAAAACACACGTCATTTGGAAGTACTGGGATGTTTGGCGTAGCGACTTGCGTCAAACCGCCATCTCGAATGTCCTCTGGATAGTAGGTTGAACTATTGTAAATGAATTTGAGGCTGAGGTTTTTATTCATAACGACCAATGAATATGGGTTAGCGTTGAGAATAGCTATGTCATCGTTCCTCCGGTTCGACCTCACTCGAAACGGCTGTGTTATAAAATCTGATTCTGATTTTACATCTGTGCATGACAGCAGTTGTCTACCCTTAAGATTATACACTGCCACTTTCTTTTTCTTAAAGAAACACACAACCACATCGTTGTTTGATTGGAAACAAAGACTTTCTGGTCTGGCTTCAGTTCGAAACCGAATGATTGACTGACCATCGGGTAGCAATCTCCGGACAGTGTTGTCCGTACAGCTGACCAGAGTCAAGTCGGCTAGGTTCGAAGCAATGTCCAGAACTCCTGTATCAAAAACACTCGACATTGCCACTTCCCCGTCATTGGTCACATGTTGTATGTCCGTATACACCATATTATGTGTCTCACGCACTATCCACGAACTTCCTTCGGATGTCGGACAGATGGACCGCATTATTTCGCCCTCGAATTGAAAGGCAGACATTTCCGTAAACTCTGTACACGTTGGTACGATTCGATTTTTATTGTCCTCAAACACATCCGCCTTCTCCATCGACTCCATATCACCGAACACCTTCATTAAGTGGTCAAGCGTAGTCTTACAAGGAACGAACTCGTCCATGGTCGCCACTGGAAGGTGTATTTGATGCTCTTTGTTAAGAAAATCTTCCATTTCGTGTTGAATATCGAAACGTTTCTCAACATGTAGTCCAGAATCGCTGGAGGATTCGTTCTGCGTAGATTGACATTTAATACAATAGTCTTTTAAGTCCTTAGAATATTCCTTAAGAGATCGTTCGTGCTGTTTGAAAACAGCATCTTTGGATTTCCTGAAGTGTCTTAGTCTTTTCTCCAGCTTCACTGCAAGTTCATCAACCTGCTGTTTCAATGCAATAGATCTATCTCTAACCTTTTCCACTTCTACCTCTGTGGCCAGCTTTAAATCCTTACGGGCCTTCGCGAACTGTTTCACTTTCACGTCGATTTCTTCTATCGTATTTTGTGCTTTCTTCAGTAAGTCAATCATGATGTGATCCTCGCTGTCCTCGTGACCAACACCCATGACCTTCAGCAAATGATCGTCAGTATCTCCTACTGTTCCGTTTGGACCGTGTTTCGACCCATTGAGTTGTTTCTTATTAGCACTAGACACACGTCCTGTCTTGTTAGCACTAGGCACACGTCCTGTCTGATGATCTTTGTGGGTAGACTTTAAACACTTCTTGCATATTTTTTCGCCACTACATGATTCACAGACAAACCTTATCTTTTTCTTTGGGTGGCGTTTACACATACCTTTCTCCTTCCGTCCTTCCGTCCGAATATCTATGTTCGTGCGGACATCTTGAAGAACCTGTTCGTTGGTTTCAGCCATATTTAACTATTGGCTGTCTCACTGGTTGATTCACACCGAGATGTACATGTCACCTGGGAGCTCCGGGCCTATATATGTGTATATCTACCTAATACGAAATTCTAAATGAATTATGTATACAAGGGTAAATATCTCCTGTAGACGAGCCATAATTATATACCCGTCGATTCCGTGTATAGAATATTCTTGCGGTAGTTCCACATAGGTCGTACAGCAGCGACTGTTTTACTTCGGTAACACCTGAATAGGTGTACTGGTTTGTATGTATATAAGTTTATAACGGTAATTAGGTTCGGACAATACAAATCGCCTCTCTTGTGATAACAATAGTAGCTTACCGAACACAAACCATGTCATTATATAAACTGTATTTCTTCGAGGCATAAACCACCTGAAGTATATATATAAGTCGACTTATTACATCGAATCAGTATTGTAATCCGCCAGCCTACATTCCCCAAATCTGTAAAGGATTAATGTTCCGACTATGCATTAAATACCTATGTTATGGTATAAGTTTGTACACGTAGAATTCATGCTTGAGCGGAGTGATTGCCAGCGAGTTATCCCTACTTATATAACTGTTTTGTACACGTCTCCCGTTATTTGACTACCTTAAAATCACTTATTCCAACTCCTTTAATCTTACTAGTACTGGTAAATGAGAATTAGTGATTAGGTTGAGGTGTCTATATATAGGCAACAGGTGTATATAACCTATTATAAGAAAGGTCAAAGTGAAATAAAATTAATTATGTACATGTCATATATGCTTCGACAACACGCCATCATCGTACTATCAATGACATTATGAAGCATTGTCACAACAAATGTTAGAATGTACTTCTATTTATAATAGAATAGAATAGCGAAATGACTCTCAACAGATGTAAATAATCATCTTTATATGAGATTCGAACCTAGAGCGCTACAAAGTAAGCAGTTGATATATATATATATTGTAAAAGTAGTTATATCCAAACATCCAAAAAAGAGAGAGTTTAGGGGACGAAATGATGAACGGTCATCAATGTAAGTGAATCAAGAATAAACTGTCACACGATCTACAAACATACGGAGTAAACTGTCACACAATATACAGTAATACGGAGTAAACTGTAACACAATATACAGTAATACGGAGTAAACTGTAACACAATATACAGTAATACGGAGTAAACTGTCACACAATATACAGTAATACGGAGTAAACTGTAACACAATATACAGTAATACGGAGTAAACTGTAACACAATATACAGTAATACGGAGTAAACTGTAACACAATATACAGTAATACGGAGTAAACTGTCACACAATATACAGTAATACGGAGTAAACTGTAACACAATAATAATACGGAGTAAACTGTAACACAATATACAGTAATACGGAGTAAACTGTAACACAATATACAGTAATACGGAGTAAACTGTAACACAATATACAGTAATACGGAGTAAACTGTAACACAATATACAGTAACACGGAGTAAACTGTCACACAATATACAGTAACACGGAGTAATCTGTCACACAATAAATATTTACAATATCTGTTGTACAAAATTTATATAAAATGTACTGTCACACGATGTAGGTAATAAGTTAGAACGAGTAGAATCTGTCACATAGAGTGTATATAATGCACTGTTTCAATAGGAGTGTATATATACAAAATGCCTTACCAGCTAGTGTAAAGTGTATATGACATTCTCTTATACAGAATATATATATATTACCTAGAATGTATTCATACAGAATAGACATACTGTCACATAGATTGTATATAATATTCTCTCTTACAAGGTATATAGGTACAGTGAACTGTCACACAGAATAGACATACTGTCACATAGATTGTATATAATATTCTCTCTTACAAGGTATATAGGTACAGTGAACTGTCACACAGAATTCATATACTGTCACATAGATTGTATATAATATTCTCTCTTACAAGGTATATAGGTACAGTGAACTGTCACACAGAATTCACATACTGTCACATAGATTGTATATAATATTCTCTCTTACAAGGTATATAGGTACAGTGAACTGTCACACACACACTGTCACATAGATTGTATATAATATTCTCTCTTACAAGGTATATAGGTACAGTGAACTGTCACACAGAATTCACATACTGTCACACAGAAAAAAACATATATAAACGTACTCTTTGACGTGGAGTATTATACTATGAACACATACGCTATATGGATACGTTCACACAGACTATAGTTGCACACTAAGTGCTTACACCTTTACACATCAATATATAGCCCTAGACTTTGATACCCATGGGTATGCTATGCTATGGTGTATTGTTGTACTGATAATTAATTATGCACATGTGTACAGGTAAGGTGATTTTCATTCCGACTCAAAAATAACCGTGTAAATGGGTTCCCTGCCGTTACCTGTACACGTATTACTGGTAATTCCCGATTGAAACCTAACTGATTTTGAAACATGGACACCTGTTACCCTCTTCTAAATTGATATCACTATATACCTGAATAGAAAAGTGCTAATATTAAACCTGAGGGTTTTTGTCCTCGGGCCCATCGGCAGGTGTTAGGTATACCAGCATGTCGGTTGCCACGCAGCGGTATGTAAATAGAAGGTAAATATGTTTGATTAATTATCAGTCTACATAGTGTACACCGAGAGTACCATGTCCTCATACTTAATTGTAACTGAGATCTATCTCTTTGTGTTAGAGATATCACAAGAGATATGCAGTATGCTTCAATATCTGTTATAGGACTGTGTAGCTTGCCTTGTAGCTTATTATGTTTTCAGCAAATTGTTCTCACAATGTGACATTCGAATGGGATCAAACTCTAGCTTCTCAGGTTATATTTAATTAACATAATTTCTTTTCACATAAAGAAACATTCTTGCAAGCTTAAGGCTAGATGTAGACATGATATTATTTAAATAGTTGTTTAATAAGTCTAACTCATTTGTGCGATTAACCAAATGGGTCCTAACAACCCTGGATATTGATCATAGTCACAATTTCACTAGAACTGTAACACTTCAGTGAGCTACAGAATAAACATGAATTATTAAATGTCTTTCGTTATATGTTATAACTTATATGTCATCCAGAACAATTCAGGTAAAAATATAAACCACCCCAGCTAGAGAGAGTCGAACCAAGAACACTAGGTGTTCACCAGTGGTTGTGAATGTTAACACTCTAATGACTGTACCTGTATATGACTACAACTGACAGTTCCAAGCTCTCCGTATGATGTTGACATTGAACAAGTTTACTCAAACCTTACAACACTCACTGCCCATAAAATAACTTAATGGTTCCTGTGTGTGTTGTTTTGCTATAATAAGAACAAATTCCTTTTTCAACCTCTTCAGTGTATAGTGTCATCAGGTTACTGGCTAAATCACATTATAAACCCATTTATATATGTTTTTTTTTTTTAAATATGACTTATTATTATTATTATCATTATTTTGTAATTCATTTATTTTTTGACAAGTTTTTACATATTACACAATATATAAGAGAATCCACACAAAAACATACACCCACACTCTCACACTTGTGTGCTCTGACTTGAATATGTCTTACATATGTACATGCATCATCATCATCATCATGCACATGTATCTACTACTTCCTGCACACAAACTCACTCATCAACATTCAGACCCACTTACACTCACATCGCAAACTTACATGTACTTAACAAAATGCTCAAATACAAAATCGTATCACTTACACTTATCAAAGATATTTCCCCACATACATATACTCACTCATGAATACATTTATATATATATATAAAACAGTGTACATCCTAAACAAAGAAAGAGAGAGTAGGAGAGAGAGGATTGGGAGGGTTATAATCACTATTAAATGAAAATAGCACTAATTTTGTGGAAATTAAATAAATTCAAAGTCAGTTTGGTAAAGTCAAGGCCATGGCCATTGGGAACAGACTTGTTAGCATACATACTATAGTTCCAAAATGGGCATCAATTTTTTCCAATTATTCTCAAATTTTGTTTTCATAATAGTGTTTTTGCTAGAAATGTACTTTTTGAACATGGAAATGATCCTTAATCTTATTGATAAGAGCATTTAGATTAATAGATTTTGTAGACATCTTGACTTATAAACAAAGTGTTTAATGAGAATAAAATTTCGTTATCTACAGTGTTAGCATTAGGATGGATAGTCCCAAATAAATATGTTTCTTTGTTTATCCAGAAAGAAACCAGAAGAATATCAAGGAAAGATTCAAATCTCTCCAATAGAGTCTGTACCTCTATACACTCCCATAGACAGTGAACGATTGTTTCTCTTTGGCACTTTTTTTTTACTTTTATGAAAAAATCCAATAGAAATGGTATAAAAGGCTGAAATAGTCCTAATGGATGGAAGTCATGTTTTCTCAAGAAACACTTGACGGCTGTAATCAAGTCACGGTACTGTAAATAGTTGGTATTGATTGAAAATGGATGGATTGACTCAGGCTTACTGTGCCTCATAGGAAAGGAATTATTCAATCTAGCCCAACTTTTTAAAACATCTTTCCAGAATATATTGCCACAATTGTTACTACATGACTTAACATACTCCTTTCCGCAATGAAACAATTTTTTCACCTCTACAATAGAATTCAATAGAAATTTCCATTTTCCTGATGACTGAGTGATTCTTCTAATCCATCATGATTTAAGAGGATCCATAAAAACTCCTACATCTATATGGCTTTGAATTACCACATCCTTTTAAAATCTATGACACTTACCATTCCAGAGGAATTCGAACAGTAATGAATTTAATTTAGCAAAAAAATTGTCGGGAGGATTAGGAAGAGTTATAAATAAATAATTGAATTGGGAAATTAGAAGTGACTTAATTATGTTAATTCTACCCATAGGACTAAGATTCCGTCTATGCCACATATTTATAATTGCTTTCAGTTTAACTATTTTTTTGTCAAAATTCATTCTAGG